AAAACAAAAGATACCCAGCCTACAATCCACAACCCTAGCTCGAACCCTCTTCGAGAAACAGATGGAAGCAGATGTAGAAATCCACAACTAACCAATGGGCCAAGCTCCTGGAGTACAATCGAAGTGAGGGAGGAGCAATAATCTGAACAAAGGAGTCAGGACCATGATGGGGAAACCCACAGAATCAGCTGACCTGAGCTAGTGAGAGATCACTGACTCAGGTCTGACAAATGGGGAACCTGCATAAGACCAAGCTAGACTCCCTTGATATAGGTGACAGTGGTGCCACTGCGACAATATTGGCAGTGGGTCCAAGATCTCACACTAATGCACAAACTGACTTAGTGGAGCCCATTCTATGTGGAGAGATACCTTGCTCACCCTAGACACAGGGGTGTGGGGTGGAGAGGTGCCTTGGTCCTGCCTCAACTAGATGATAGGACAGACTTAGTAGACTTCCTAGGGGAGGCCTTACCCTCTCTGAGGAGCAGATGGGAGGTGGGGGGTGCATGAGGGGAGCTGGAGGAGAGAAGGGAGGGGAAACTGGGATTGAAACATAAAATATAAATTAATAAAAACAAACAAACAGACTTAGGTTTAATCTTTAGCACTGGGTGTGACACAAGCCTATAAGATCAGGAGTTCAAGGTCATCTTCATCTACAGACCAAGCAGGAATTCATGAGACCTTACTTCAAAAAACAAAAACAAAACCAAAACCCAAAACAACAACAACAACAAAACAAAACCAAAAACCAAACAACAAACACCATGCCTACATTTTGATTTGCAGGGATTAGAAGGAGAGACTGTGTTCTGGGCATAGCTTCAGCATATGTGAGACCTCAAAACCTGCCCCCACAGTGACACACTTCCTCCAACAAGGCCACACCTACTCCAAGGTCACATCTCCTAATAGTGTCACTATGGGCTAAGCATTCAAACATATGAGTCTATGGGGGCCATTCCTTTTCAAACCACCACATTCCACTCCCTGTCCCCCATAGGCTTTTAGCCCAGGCTATGCCCAGTACAGAGTCTCTCATTTGGAGACAAATGATCATGGACTGAACTTTTTCAAACCAAGATCCAATATAAGCCCTTGATTCTTATGTTGTTTCTGGCAAGTATGTGGTCATAGGGATGCAATTATCATGAGCTATCACTAAATTTTAAAAAGAAGAAAATTCTGATATATGGAAAAGCTTTTAAAATATTAAAAGTGAAGTAAAGGACAAACATTGCAGGATCTGCTTATGTGAACTACTATTATTAACAGAGACTGGAAGAGAAGAGTTCACTAGGAATAGGGAGAGCAAAAAAAATAGCTATTTAATGTGTGGAATTTCAGTTTTGGATGACACAAATGTCTCTAGAGATCGATAATGGTGTGGTAGTTTGAATAAGAACAATCCCACTGGTTCACATATTTGACTGTTTTGTCATTAGGGAGTGGCACTACTTGAGAAGGATTAGAAGGACTAGGAAGTGTGGCTTTATTGGAGGAAGTGTGTCTCTGGGGTTGAACTTTGAGGTTTCAGAAGCCCATGTCAGGCCCAGGCGCTCCCTCTCCCTCTCTCTCTCACTGTCTGTCTGTCTCTCTCCCTCTCCCTCTGCCTCCCTGTCTCTCTGTCTCAGCCTGTGGATCAGGATGTAGCTCTCAGCTACTGCTCCAGTGCCATGTGTGCTGCCATGCTCCCCAGCATGATTATAATAAACTAACCCACTAAAATTGTAAGCAAGCCACCAATTAAATGCCTTCTTTTATAAGAGCTGCCTTGGTCATCTTGGTCATCACATCTCTTCACAGCAATAGAGCACTGACTAAGAAAATGGTAGTAACTGTCTAATAAGATGAATGTATTTGAATGTTAAGAACCACTAATTTTTACATGTAAAATGGTTGATGGTAAATTTTATGTATATATTACCATAGTATGAAAAAAAAAGAACTAAACACAAATGAAATACTCTGTTAAGACCATCTTCACAGAGTTAATGGCTAGCAGCTTTGAAATTTTGTGTATGGCTTGAAAACATCAATCTATTTGGACCACTAGACAGGTTTTTCATAGTAAGTAAAAGAAGTGTGTGCCTAGCAATATGCTTAGTTCTATGATGATGTATTATTTATGATTTATTAAAGCTTGCCTAAGGGTTCAGAATGCAAAGCTAGCAACAAGCCATAGAGTCAGGCAATGGTGATACACACCTTTAATCCCAGCAGCCATACTAGCTGGCCATAGAGCCAGGCAATGGTGATACACACCTTTAATTCTACCAGCCACACTAGTTAGCTATAGAAGCTGGACAGTGGCGGGACACACCTTTCATCCCAGGACTCAGGAGACAAAGGCAGATGGATCTCTGTTGAGTTCAAGGCCATCCAGGGTTACATTAGAGTGAATCAGTCTGAAAGAGAAACAGTTCACACAAAGGTGATCTCAGCATTTGGGATCCCATGTCTTTAATACCAGCATTACAGAGGTGGAGACGTCAGAAGTAAAATGGCTGGGTGGGGAGAGGTACATAAGGAAGAAGCAAAGTCAGTCTCAGAGATTTACTCTCCAGTCACACTGAGGAGAGGATAGCCCTTTCAGTCTGAGGTAGAGGTAAGAGCTAGTGGCTGGCTGCTTTGCTTCTCGGATATTCAGCTTGTAGCTTGAACCTCAATATCAGTCTCTGGGTTTTTATTTTCACGTTACATAGTTCTAAAGCTGGAAAAACACAATGAGCCTGTTTGACCGAGCAATGCCCTTAAGTATAGGGTTCAAAGTAATGACTGGACTGAAAGAAACTAGTGGGGTTGAAGCTGGGATTGTATACAACAAAAATCCCATGATTTAGAATGATAATAGTAATATATAATTATATAATAATAGAATAAATATCTATATATTCACTGATGTATATAAGTTGCTGTATAGCAATTTCTTCTGGGTTAGAACCTTTATCTTAAAGCTCAGACAGTAAACAACTCAGACTTGAGGAAGTCTTTGAAACTTACACTATTTCCCTCCCTCCCCAAGGGCAGTGAGGGCTGCTGAGAGACTCTCAGACCAGCCAAGCTGCTTAAAAGGAACATTTTCCAACTAACTGAACTGCTTGCAAGGTGTGTGTAGTGTGCTCCAGGTTTCCAGCTTTCGTGAGCTGTCACCTATGCTGGAATGGGCTTTGATGATTTTGATTCATTTCTGCTCTTCTAAGTTCCCTAGAAAAACTTATTGGTTCACAAAGTTGGGTTTTGGTAGCATCTTTACTTTGGTCTGTCATTGATTTTCTACTTGGAGTGAATAGACATTTGTTCAGGTCTTCCTAGGAATAGTGTTGCACAACAACTGAATACACAATTGAGACTAGATTAGATTCTCCTCATAGCAAAATTATAGTTAGAATATGCAGAAAGAATGATAGAAATTGAAAGTCATCATTAGGTAAATACTGAACAAATAACTACTCCAAGTTACAAAAAATTTCAATGGATCCTAAAATTAGTTGTGAAAAGATATTTTTATAGTCCCCACAAGACCAGCAAAAAAAATTTAATTCTGTAATTGGGGAAAACTGGCATAACATTAGGAAAATGATAGTTAACATGGTAGTCAATCAGCATTAATAAGATGATCTGTATTCCATATCCCAACCTCTATGCCATGATGGATAGAGATGGCACTTAGTATTCTATATAAAATTCATGATCTCAGTGAGTCATGGGGGGTGAAACAACACATAAATTCAAATCAGTGGACAGTTTATTAAAACACTAATGACTACACTTCACATGTGGAGATCATGACATGTAAAGACTGAGCAGCTGTCAGATGGAGACCAAGGATACTTGGCAACTGGAAGCAAAGTGGACACTACACCATAAAAAAGCCAAAAAAGAAAGAGAGAGGAGGACATTAAGGGGAAATTAGTCATATGTGAAGGTCTATAGATTGGTTAATAGTATATCAATGATAATTTTCATCTTGTTTTTAAAGATGTTAATATTAAGAAAGTCTGAATAAAAGAATAAAATTTTACTATTTTTGTAAATCTCTTCAAAACTATTTAAGAATAGAAAGTTAAAAAGAAAAAAAATCTAAAATCTTCAACATGGTGTCTAAACTTCTGGTGTCCATGGTTTGCAGTTTGCTGGAGTCAATAATTACCAATAAAACTGAATTACTACAACCGATAACTTTTCTTTATCTTTTTGAGATGGAAGCCTCTCTGTTATTCAGCCTGGCTGTCCTAGAACTCACTATGTAGACCAGGCTAGGCTTGAATTCACAGATCTGTTTGCCTCTGTCTCCTGAGTGCTGGGATCAAAGGTGTACACCACCAAGGTTGGCCTGATAACTCTTTTTAAGATAGAAAATCCCTAGAGAAGCCCCAACTTCTGAACTCTCTTTTTATTGATCCAGTGCTGCTATTTACATGACAACACTTCTTTCCTGACAACAGTTAATTTTTAAGAACAGGAATCATAACTTATTCATTTCTACATGCTTTTGGATACAAGGTTTTGTCAAAAATTCATATTGATAAATATTACTCTGTTTCACTGTTTAAATTAGTATTTTATGGTATGTAAATTTCTGTTACAGATCATCATTTGCCTTTTTTTTTTTTTTTTTTTTTTGGTTTTTCGAGACAGGGTTTCTCTGTGTAGTTTTGGAGCCTATCCTGGCACTTGCTCTGGAGATTAGGCTGGCCTCATACTCACAGAGATCCACCTGCCTCTGCCTCTTGAGTCATTATTTGTCTTTACATCAAGTTCCATAATGTGACTCCCAAATTCTGCCCTGACCATCTTCACTCTTGTATTAACTCACTGACTTGGCATAGGGTTTGCTGTAAGTCAATGGGGGAAAAAATGTTCCTGTTGAGTCAACAAAGTGCAGTGTGACAGTTTATAGAATGTTGTTATAAAAGAAAAAAACTTTTTCTGTCAAGAAAGCAGGTATTCGGTAAGCATACTGTGAATGAAATAGACTTGGATTCTTTACTTACGTTCCACGAAGGAAGTGAAGAGCATCCTAAACCGGCTAAGCCGACTACCTTCATCTGCCCACATCCGTATCACTCCCACTCCTGTTTTCAGCATTACATCATTAGCCACAGTGCTGCAAAACTTGGCCTTCAGATTTTCAATAGCACTGCTTCCATCATAGACTGCTACAAAATTCCTCTTGCATTCATTTGAGTGTTCCATCTGGTAATCTAAGAACCTCAAATAAATCTGTAATATCAAAGCACAAGAGTTTTAAATTTTTTTACTTAAAATTTTTCTATTTTAAGATTCACAGTCAATATATTTGACGGAATTATAACAACCGACTGAAAAACACAATGATAGAAGGATGATCCCTGAGTAGTTAAAGATCTAAGAATAACAGTCTCATTTTTTGGTTGTCTTAATAATGGAACCAAACATTAAGAAATCTAAAGCTTATGCTTTATTTATAGAGATGTTAATATTCTTATATAATTTAATCTCATTATAATGATAATTTCATGGTATTAATACATAAAGGAAATAAAAAATTACTTAGAATGTTGTTATTCTAACAGTCAATGTTATTAGTTGGTGCTTTCAGTTTTTCTTTACTTTCTATTACTTACTTATGTATTTTCAAGGCAGCATCTCCTGTAGCCTAGGTTGACCTTGGACTTCGATCCTCCTCCTTCCTCCACTCAGGTGCTGAGATTACAGGCATGCACCACCCACTTGGTCTTATGCAATCCTGGGAATCAAACCCAGAGCTGCACGCATAGGAGACAAGTGCCTTGGCAGAGGAGCTGCACCCCCAGCCCTTTCTGCACATCTCATACCTGAGCTTAACTGTAAGATGCACAAGATAATGCACCTCACTTATGTAGTAACGCAACTCAAGGGTCATCCACAGTCTTTACTGCAATCCTCAGGCACACAACACCCTACCATTTATTTATTCACAATCCCACTGCTACACAGTTAAGCGTTTTCCAAATTCTACTCTGTAAATTACACTTTACACTTTTTTCAGACAAAGCATAGGATCTGTATAGCACTATTAGCTTTATTCATATTATAAATAAATCAGGGACCAACTGATTTATTACATAGTTTTGGTTTACTTTTGTCTGAAGAGTTCCTTTACATTTTTACATTCTCAGCTATAAAGACTAAACATTAATCTCTAACAGAACCTTATAAAGCAAGTGTTACTTGTGCAAGAGAGATTCAACCTTCTCAGGCTCACACAGAGCAGGGAGTTTAAAAAGATTTTGATTTATGTGCACTTGCATGTTTTTGTCCTATGTATGTGGGTACCCACAGAAACCAGAAGAGGTTATCAGAAACCCTGAAGCTGAATGCACAGTGGTGTGAATCACTGACCCAAGTGCTGGAAACAGAAATGGGGTCCTCTGGAAGAGCAGCAAGTGCTCTTACCTGCTGAGTTATCTCTCTCTCCCCCAAGGGCAAGGACTTGAACTCAGGCTGATCTGTGTTTAAAGTGTGTATTTCTCAACTCTAAGGGAAGCCTTACATTCACATACGCATACATATGTTCTCACTTTTTGTCTCTACTTGCTGTATAATTAAAAATTTCTTGTGTGAAAAATAGTGTTTTCTCTGACCTGTCATTAGCCCTCCAGCTGTTACTCATGAAGCAGTCAGAGTCCTTCTATCCTTAAAAGGCTTAATAAAACAAAATCATGGCAAAACAGTATCAAGTTTTGATCTATTAATAACTTTATTTGAAATTATCAATTTGGCATTTTCATGGTTATGGTGAGAAATCAGTAATAAGACAGGTTTTGTAATCTGAACCTACAAAATCATGCATGTGCCTAAGCAAAAAAGTGACATGTCCCAGCTCTTTCTGTTTTCCCCTGTAATCTATTTTTTACTTCTCTATTTACTTAGAGAAGTAAATAAAGGAACACGAAGATTAATTGGAAGCTCAAGGTTATCCTTTGCTATACATCAAATTCCTGACTAGCCTGTACTACATGAGACTCCTGTCTCAAAAACACTAAATCAATCAAACAAAACTACCTATCGCAAAACCCAAAACAAGCTTGGCATAGCGGTGCCCACATTTAATTCTAGCTCTTGGGAAGTGGGCACAGGAGTACTAGGAACTCATGCTTGCCTCATATGGCAAGTTCAAGGGTTATCCTGTGCTATATAACAGCCCAATGAGAAATCAAAATTAAAGACAATATTAATATTAAAATTTAATTAACATTAATACAATATTAGTATTAAAAGTGTATTTTAAAACTTTTAAAAATTACATTTACTATTTGTATGTATCTTAGTTGGTTTTGGTCAACTTGACATAAACCTAGACCCATCAAGGAAATGGGAATGTCAACTGAGTAAATGCTTCCATCAGATTGCCTGTAGACAAGTCTGTAGGGCTTTTTCTTAGTTAATGATCGATGTAGGAGAGATCAGCCCAGTGTAGGAGGTGCCATTTCTGGGCAGATGGTCTCTGGTATATAAGAAAGCAAATTGAGCAAGCCTGTAAGCAATAGGGCTGTATGGCTTCTGTTTCAGTTCCTGACCTGACTTCCTCAGCGATGGACTGTTACCTGAAGTGTTCCAATAAAATAAACCCTTTCAAAGTATGTAGTATAAGTATCTCTCATTAATTTATTATTTATCAATGAAAACACACTTCACGGTTCTAACACTGTAATTGTCTCCTCCACTAGACTGTAAGGTCTTCATATAGAAGGATCATATACTACATCATAATCTAGCATATTCTTGATCACAGAAGATAATAGTTAGTTTTCAAAACTATGAATTAGATCAAGTGGGAGAAAGACAGAGGGAGAGAGTACTGAAAAAGACAGTTTGAGCTGGGGGGCATCTCTGGGACAAGCTAGAGACCTAGTGCAATGGAAACTCCCAGGAAGCTATGAGGGTGAACCTAGCTAAGACTCCTAGCCTGAGCCGACCATCTCCTGTAACCAGGCAAGACTTCCAGTGGAGGGACTACTACACCAACCCAGCCACACAACCTTTGACGTACAATTTGTCCTGTCTACAAGATGTGCTGGGGTAAAGGCGTCACAGAAATTGTGGGAGTGGTCAAAAATGACTGATCCAGGTTGAGACTCACACCATGAGAGGGAGCTCACCCCTGACACTGCCTGGAGGGCCAGGACTCAGAGTCTGGATGGCACCGAGACCTAGGATAGAACCAAACATGACTGGGAAAAAAATCAACAAAATGATTCCTAACAATATTCTGTTATACTTATAGATTGGTGCCTTGCCCAGTTGTCATTATAGAGGTCTCACCCAGCAACTGGTGGAAAGACATATAGAGATACCTAGTCAAACATTAGGCAGAGCTCAGGGAATCCTGCAGAAGAAGGGGAGGAAGGATTGTAGGAACCAGAGGAGTCAAGGACACCACAAGAAAAACCTAACCGGAGCTAATAGGTGCTCACAGAGACTGAGACAAACAGGGAGTCTCCAAGGGACTGACTTAGGCCCTCTACACATTACAGCTGTGTAGCTTATTCTCCTTGTGGATGTCTAACAATGGGAGCAGGAACTATCACTGACTGTTGTCTGATTTGGGGTCCTTTTGCTCCTACCAGGTTGCCTTGTCCAGCTGTTATTTATGAAGAGGTGCCTAGTCTCACTGCAATTTGATATGCCAAGGCTGGTTGATGTCCATGGGAGGCCTGCCCTTTTCTGAAGAGAAAGGAGGAATGAATGAAGAGAGAGCAGGGAAGGGAAACTATATTTGGGATATAAAAACAAACCAACACCTATGATTTAGAAGAACTAAATAAATATTGGCAAAACCAATAAGATGTCTCAAGTGTTTATTGCCTCTTTTTTGTGGGTGTAAGTGGTACTAGGGTTACTTAATCCAGGGTCTTGCATATGGCAGGCAAGTGCTTTACAATTGAGCTACATTCTCTGTACATCGAATATTAGTCAACAGTTATTGATAGTCAATGCTAGTCAATAACTGTTGATTATTATTGTATGCACACATGTGCTGCAGCATGTTTATGTGAGAGGACAAATCCATGGAGTTGGCTATTTCCACCTCTACATGGGCTCTAGGGATCTACTGAGGTTGTGAGGCTTTGTAGCAAGACTTGTATCTGCTGAGCCATCACATTTACTAATTCATTCCTTTGAGAAAAGGAATTGTTAAAGTTGCCCAGAGTGGTTGGCATGTTCCTGCTTCAGCATCCTCCAAAGTAAGTGGGATTATATATGTGTGATAACATATATGCCTGTTTGCATTATCTTTTTAATACAAAGAAATATATAAATCTACAGTAAATGTTCTTCAAAGATATTTAGCTCAAGGCAAGTCATATGAATATGAATATATACATATATACATATATATGCAATTGTGAATACACTGAAACAGAACCAGGTGTGGTGGTGTTCACCTGTAATTTCAGCGTTTGGTAAGTGGATACAGGTGGTTCAGGAATTCAAGGTCAGCTTGAGCCACAGGAAACCTTGTCTCAAAACTCCCTACACCAATGAAACCCTCAAGTTAATTGTTTAGACAACTTTTAGAGAATATATGGAACTGACAAGGAAATGTATGTGTATGCTACTCCCTTACTCCAGAGGGCATGAACTCTATTGGCCAGTCACTCTACTCTTGCATATCCCATCCAGGCATCATTCTTTCCAGGATTTTAAAAATAATCTCCTATGTCTTCTGAAAGGAGCTTACATTGTACCTTCCCTATGTCTCAGATAAGATTATGAATGGTCATTACATCTCTTAGATGCTGAACAACTTGCCAGTAAAATCATGGAAGTCTTGGACATTTTTGTAAGGTTTTACACTATAAGTTCAAGTCTAGCTTAGGTGTAGGATGACTTAGCTTACCTAGTTCTATGATCATTTCTTTTAAGTCATCTGATTTGGGGGCAGAGAGCTGTTTACCATAGTCTCGCTCTCTCTCTCTTTTTAACACTGATAGAGTAAAACAGGTTTATTTTAGCTAGATACTGTTTGTTGTCCTTTACTCAAGAAGTTCTATGATTCAATGACACTTCTTTTATTTTACAGCAGATCTACAGGAAGTGATAATAATCTCTTTGTCTTCAGTAGTATGTTTTCAGTTTGCCTTCATTTCTGAGTTTCTCAGGTTATAAAATTCTGAGTTTTAGTATTCCCAAGTACTTAGGAAACTAAGGTAGAGGATTGTGAGTTCCCTATCAGCCTGAACTACATAGTGACACCA